GAGTTTTCTTTCTCTCACTTCTGTTAGACTGTGAACTCCATGAAGTCTGAAACTGAACCTGTCTTGTTTATCACTCTATTTCAAAGTATCTAATTAAATTTCTGAGCCATCACTATTTTCAGTAGGTAGCTATTGAATGCATGAATGAATTATCATGCATTGTGGTGATTACTCTGGAAAGTGCAGGGAGCTATGGGAGAGAATGAGGAGAGTTCTTCAGGTTATTTACCCAAAGGAATCTCTTGGATGAAATGACACTGAATGAGAAGGAGCTATTCTAGCAAATAATTATTATTCTAGCAAACAAAAGAATAATAAGCAAATAAAGAGAGGTGACTCTTTTAGACAAAGCTAATAGCAAACAAAATGCCCTGAGGTAAGAAAAATCTTGAGGTGCTTGAAAAAACTTAATGAGGGCATTGTGCCTGGAGCATAAGAAATAAGGCGGAGAGTGAAATGAAGTGAGATTAGGCAGCAAAGTATAAGAAAGATTATTCAGCCTCTGGCAGATCAGTTTAAGAGTATGAATATGATCTTAAGTACTTGAGAAGTCTATGGAAAGTTTTGAAAGTTGACTAATCAGGAGGTCTGTCACTGTAGAGAAGAAGAAATGTGCAGCCACACAGCATCAGGGTGCTGTGTTGATGGCCCTGGAACTCTCCCTGATCTCCCTGATCTCCCTTGGCCTCGTGGATACTCCCTTCCTTGAAATGATGAGTGAAGCTTGACACTGGCTAAGCCTGTGAGTCTGATGTGACAACCCCATTGTTTGTAGGATCTGAGACGTCCATGAAAAATACAAAATCAAACATTTAGTCATGGAATAGAGGAATTGAAACTTCATGGGTGGGGGGGACAGAGGCAAGGAATCTCAGAAAGAGCAACCAGATAATCTGGAGAAATAGTATGAAGTGTCATGGAGCCAAGGAAAAAAGGATTTTTTTTTAATGCACTTTTTATTTTGGAGTATTTTCAGGTTTACAGAAATTTTGCTAGGCTAGTACAGAGAAGTCCCAGTTTTAGTTACCCCTAATGTTACCATCTAACATCACCCTGATACATTTGTCAAGACTAAGAAATCAACATTACTATTAAAAATACCCCAGACTCTATCCAAATATCACCATTTCCCCCCCATTAATGACCTCCTGCTGTTCCTGGATACGATGCAGGGGACCACATGGCCTGACTTCTTATTCTCCTCTGGTCTGTAGCAGTTTCTCAGAATCTTGCTCATGATTTTGACAGTTTTGAGGAGTGCTGGTCAGGGTATTGTGTAGATTAGTCCTCAACTTAAGTTTGCCTGTGGTTTTATCTCATAACGAGACTGGGGTTGCAAGTTTTTAGAAGGAGTACCACAGACGTGAGATGCTGTTCTAATTTCATCATATATGGGGGTTCATGGAGCTATGTGACTGGTTCCTGGTGATGTTAACTTTGATCACCTGGTTAAGACAGCGTTGACCAGATTTCTCCACTGTCAAGTTACGACAGTTCTCTTTCCATAGCTTACTCTCTGGAAGTGAATCTCTAAGCCCAGACTCAAAAGGGAGGGACTAAGTTCTATCTCCTAGGGGAAGATATTATTTTGAATTCTCCTTCAGGGAAGATTTGGCTAAAAGAAGAGAGGCTTAAAAAAGAATATGTGGCCATATTCTACTGTGTAGTTTATGCAGGTGAAGAATCAAAAATCTTCATTGATTTTGGCAAAATGAAGATTGAGGTTGCCTTAGGAAGAACAATTTGAATTTAATTGTAGGGACAGGAGCCAGATCAGTGGGTAGAAGGATGAATGAGAGAGGACGAATTAAAGATAGCACATGTGGACACTTCTTGGAAGGTGCTTAGTTGTAAGTGGCCCTAAGAATGAGGACTGTAGTCCAGGATTCATGTGACAATGATATTACATCCTGTTCTTTTTACACATTTTGTTCTAGGAACAATGTTCTCAATTTCTTTCTTCCTTCCTTCCTCCCTCCTTCTTTCTTTCTTTCTTCCTTCCTCCCTCCTCTTTCTTTCTTTCTTTCTTTCTTTCTTTCTTTCTTTCTTTCTTTCTTCTTTCTTTCTTTCTTCTTCTTCTTCTTCTTCTTCTTCTTCTTCTTCTTCTTC